GCACAGTTCATAAATTGATATCCAAACTTGGCTGTCATTCCTAGGATCTGTAACGTTGACTAAAAATACACTTCACCAAGCATACGCACACCAGGGCAAGCAAACTGGCGAAAGTTGCGCACTCAGAGGTGCTCAGCGTACAACGCTGGAGTCATTAACCTTGGAGAGATTCAAAAACGGGAACAACATCAGCTTGTACAAGCGGTGATGGAGGCTTTAGCCAAAAATTCACTTATAATAAGCTATTCAATCTTGAAAGGGGGTTGCTTTAAGAATGCATCCAAACTTCGGAACTGTAAATCCCGTTTTACTATGTCACAAGTAGGAGTCCAACTACGATCAGGCTCTAGACGATATGATGCCACATATTCTTTCCTTTTTTCCTCCTTTCCCCATTCATCTGGGCATAGAAGCGAAAAGTACCTGAAAATTTTGTCGCATTCCTCAAGTGATCTAGAGTTCAGCACGAGGAATATACTGAAAGTGGCAAACGTTACCTGTATCCGTCTTTTCTTTGGTATAAATGATAAATACGCCCAGGTTGCTTCTGCATATTGCACGCCACGCTGTGCAATTCTTCATCTCGTTTAGCTTCTTCAAGAACTTTAAGAGCAGCCTAGAGACAATAAGAGTTCGATTCCGAACGAAAACCAGGGTCAAAACTGGTAATTACCTTTTGTAATTGTTCCATTTGTTCGGCAATATTTCTTAACCTGTCGCAGGCTCGGCCCTTTACTAGCTCACTGGAAAATTTGCATTTTGGATGATCGTAACCGTAATGAGCCCCACCCACATGGTCCACATACCGGGCAGTTGATAATTGTTGTGCCAATCCGACCAAATCGTCTGCAGTAGCTCTGTCGGTTTCACGAGTAGAAACAACAAGACGGGATCCATCGTTGCGAGGTGCAACCAATTCCACACTAACTTAAAAATAAACCTAGATCAAAATCCCGAAAATGAAACGCTGGTGACCAAGAGAACGAATCATTTCCATGCTTTGAAAGGGAAGCACAAATTTTCCGTGCGGGGAAGTGAACTTCGGCCTCAGGAAATGCTGTAGCAAGCCTTTTTTCATGTCCTATTCTCCTATAAAATAGGCTTCCCACTAATTGTTAGTGAAAAATCACCGTTGCCCAACATGACTGGTTTTAGCACAACTTTTATGATCTTGAGATCAAGCAGGAGCCCGCATCACCTCTCAACTCTTCTAGGTGTTGTCACCTACGTATGAAGTTGTGTAATTTGGCAAACATTTCGAATCCAATTCTGCCCTACAGATTTACAATCGGCTGAGTCAACCAGGCCACAGTCATCCCTCCACTACGCTAATCCCATGCAGAAACCTTGACTACGGCCAAATAGGCAACCGCGACATTACTTACTTGAAATGCACTTTAGTGGCCGATGTCAGACTTTGCGATTGGAGCGATTTTGCACCAAATTGCAGGAGCGACGGATCGCTGAGCGAACGGGAGATTTACCCGAGCGGCGCCGTGTGTATCGGTATTCGGCGGGGTAAATCTCCCGTCGCTCGCATCGCTCAAGCGATCCGTCGCTCCTGCAATTGGTGCAAAATCGCTCCAATCGCAAAGTCTGACATCGGCCAGTTGATTCAACGCTCCTAATAACTTAAATATCGAAAGAACCACAGGGGAAGCCAACGAAACCCTATTCCAATGCTTGTTGCTGAACCAAGCCTCCTACCAACCAAAACTTGCGTTTTCCCACCAACCACATCAGTGGCGAATACTCACTTCTGCCAGAAGTGGTATTCCACACTCGATGATGAGCAAGCAAAGCAAACCGACTTGATCATTCAAAAAAAAAAACCTCACCCTTATAAAGGGCCTTTTCAAACGTACATACCGCGTAACAACCCCGACTGCGAAAAACGCGCATATGGCATGGAAACCACAAATACTGCGACATATACTTCTGGTGTACTATCGCTGTAATTTCGGAATCTGCGGAAAAGATCCTAAACCCTTTGAACGGCGTACCGCACAATGTAAAATTGTCGCCTATGTGTCAAAAATCGCAAGAACTTCAATATAATTACCGTCTTGTTGATTCTTCAACGGGATCATGACAACCGAGTTCACACCAGTCGACATTTTTACTGAACACAACACACTTGAGTGACCCAGTTCAAAGAACCATCCTCGCCAAATATCTCGCAGTCGAACGATCGATTTATTTACAAAACAGATAGCACAAAGTACTTTTATTACAACAAGAGGGGGACTGTATTCGGTGCCACGCACTCAATACTCTTCTCCTTCTTCGTAACCTTCCTCGTTCGAATCAGACCCAACCTGGAAATAATTCAGTTTACACACATCGCAAACTGATCAAGCTTATTGTTGAGCTAAAAAAAGAAAACAAACCTCTTCGTAATCTTTCTCAAGAGCAGCAAGATCTTCACGTGCCTCACTGAACTCTCCTTCCTCCATACCTTCTCCGACATACCTATAGAGCACAATATTTTGCACGACATGTGTGGAATGCTCACAATTGTTTGAAGAAGAAAACTCACCAGTGGACGAAAGCACGCTTAGCATACATAAGGTCGAACTTATGATCCAAACGAGCCCAAGCTTCTGCGATCGCGGTGGTATTGGACAGCATGCAAACTGCTCGAGGAACTTTGGCGATATCACCACCAGGAACAACGGTAGGAGGCTGATAGTTGATACCAACCTTAAGGACAGCAATTTTACTGCAAATCAGTGTGCCGATCACGTTTCGAGTTTAGACAAAAATTACTTTGAAGCCAGTGGGACACCAATCCACAAACTGGATGCTGCGCTTAGCCTTGATAGCAGAAATGGACTGGTTGACGTCTTTTGGAACGACATCTCCGCGGTACAACAAGCAAACAGCCATGTACTTCCCGTTTCGTGGATCACACTTTACCATCTGATTGCAAGGCTCGAAACACATGTTTGTGATGTCGCTCACTGACAACGCCTCATGGTACGCCTGCAAAAGCCATAGATGAGTTGAGCGGAAGGAAGGCACACCGAAGCGTGCACAAATTGCTAAGTGCTACAAACCTTCTCGGCGGAAATCAATGGCGAATAAGTGGCCAATGGGAAGTGAATACGAGGGTATGGAACGAGATTCGTTTGGAACTCGGTGAGATCAACATTAAGAGCGCCTTCGAAACGGAGAGACGCGGTGATGGACGATACAACCTATAAAAACAACCCTACGCAGTAGTAACAATAACGCAATAATGACATGGCCGAACAAATGAGTTGTCTTTCTCAAGATAGATTACCTGAGAAATGATGCGATTGAGGTTCGTGTAACTTGGCCTCTCGACGTCTAGGTTTCGGCGACAAATATCGTAGATGGCCTCGTTGTCGACCATGAAGGCACAATCGGAATGCTCAAGCGTGGTGTGGGTAGTGAGGATGGAATTGTACGGCTCAACCACGGCAGTGGAGACCTATAAACTCGAATATCGTAAGAATGCGATCGTTGTATATCATATCAAGGAAAGTATCGGACTTTGAGGGCACTTCCATAATAGGACGACTATGAAAGCGCCCAAAGAGGCTTCAACATCCCGACTTACCTGTGGTGCAGGGTAGATCGAGAATTCGAGTTTGCTCTTTTTGCCGTAATCCACAGAAAGACGTTCCATTAACAAAGAGGTAAATCCAGAACCAGTTCCTCCTCCAAAGGAATGGAAGATCAAAAACCCTTGCAATCCAGAGCAATTGTCAGCAAGACGGCGAGTTCTGTCAAGCACGAGGTCGATTATCTCCTGAAACATTGCATATTTCAAAAAGCACTTATGAAGAAACCGCTGATACATACTTTTCCAACAGTGTAGTGTCCTCGAGCATAGTTATTGGCTGCATCTTCTTTACCAGTAATCATCTGCTCTGGGTGGAAAAGCTGTTTGTACGTACCAGTTCGAATTTCATCTGAAACATGCCTTTTGATTATATAATGAGTTGAATAAGAGTATCAAAGTGTTCCACTACATTGGTTTGCACATGTGTAATAGCCTGGTTTGCCAAAGAGCTCTACTTAGGTAGGTATAAGACTTCACGACTGCAACAAAGATCACGATCGTGGGTGAGGTAGAGCGCGATTCCTGTGCGATACCAGAATCGCGAGTGGGGCAATCGTCATGGATCCGTATGCTTGCGCAGCGGCGCACCGCTAGCGACTGCAACCACAAATTCTGACACCTATCTTATACACAGGGGCAACTATATAAAGATGGATCTGCTGGGATGTTGATGACCTTTACTTCTGTTCCTGCGCTTTGGTTGGTTTGACCTGCGACTTCCACTGTTTGTATTTCTTTTACCGAGTCTGGTTCCAGTCCAAACCTATTTTTAAGGGTTACTGTGATGATAACGATCAACAGCTCTAATAAAACTATTCAGCGTTC